CTGAAGAGGAGATAGTTTGCAGCATTAAATAGGGTGATCAGAGAAGGCCTCACCGAGAAAGCCACATCTGAGTAAAAATATGGAGGATGTAAAACAGTTCAGCATAACAACAGGTATGAGAAGAAGGGAAGAATTTGAAATATACAAAAGGCAGGTGCCCTCAGACTCAGTGATTAGATGAGGGAGTCCTAGAATAATTCCCAGTTTCAAATCCCTGAGATACAGGATGGTTCAGTATACATTCTTATGTGTCAAGAAATGTGATGCAGCACATTAATAGAAGGACAGATAAAAATCATATGATCATCTCAAAAGATGCAGAAAAAGCATTTGACAAAATTCAACACCCTTTTAGGACAAAAACTTGCAAGAAATTGGGTATAGAATGAGCAGATTTCAACATAATAAAGCCATCTATAGATCTAATACAATCCCTATCAAAACTCCAATGCCATTTTCCACAGAAATAGAAAAAACAACCCTAAAATCCTTATGGAACCACCCTGAACAACAACGCAATTCTGAGAAAGAAGAATAAGGCTGGAGGCATCGCACTTCCTGAATTTAAACTATACTACAAAGCTATCGTAATCAAAGCAGTATGGTACTGGCATTAAAAACAGACACACGGACCAATGCAACAGAATCAAAAGCCCAGAAACAGACTGACACATAAGTGCTCAAAGTAATATTTGATAAAGGAGCCAAGAATACTCAATGGGTAAGAATAATCTTTTCAATAAATGTTGGAATGTTCACATGCAAAAGAAGGAAACTGGACCGTTTTCACCACTCACAGAAATTAATTCAAAATGGATTAAAGACTTAAATGTAACAACTGAAACTGTAAAACTCCTAAAAGAAAGCATAGGGAAAACTTCCTTGGCATTGGTCTTGGCAACAAATTTTTGGATATACTATTAAGAGCAAAAGTAACAAATGCAAAAATAAGTGGGACTACATCAAACTAAAAAGCTTCTGCACAACAAATGAAACAATAAAATGGAAAGGCAACCTATAGAATGAGAAAAAATATTTGAAAACCATGTATGTGATAAAGAGTCAATATCCAAAATATATAAGGAACTCTTACAACTTAATAGCAAAAAAAAAAAAAACCAAAACAACAACAACAACAAAAACCCTAATAAAATCCAGAGAAAAATGGACAGAGAATCTGAATAGAGATTTTCCTGAAGAAGACATGTAAATGGCCAGCGGGTAGATGGAAAGATGCTCAACATCACTAGTCATAAGGGAAATGCAAGTCAAAACCACAATGGATATCACTTTAGGCCGGTTAGTATTAGCTGTTATCAAAAAGACAGGACATAATAAATATTTGCAAGGATGGGGGGAAAAATACACCTGTGTCATCAGTCTCCAGGCAGAACAACTAGAACAACCTGAAGGAGATTAGGAGAAAGGAAGGGAAAGGCTGGGAGGAGCTTCAGGGAAGTGGGTACTACTGAGGGCTGGGCTCTGCTTAGCAGGCATCTTCACTGAGCCACCTTCTTGGGCTGAAGGTGCTCAAATCCAAACATGTCTCTGTAGGTGTTACCCTTGAGCCTTTTCTTCACCAACAGGGAAGTCATTGGCCCATTCCGTCTTGGAGACTTCATCCTGAGACTATCTGCAAGGAACTATCGAGGTCATCTGGCCATCTGCCAGCCTGAGATTCCCTTTCTGCTCTCCCCACTTAGCAGAGTGAGCGCTTCTCCAAGGGAAGATCATTGATTTTTGTGGATGGGGCAATGTAAGCATGGGGGAAAAGAAGAGTAAGGTAGGGGAAGAAAAAAGAAAAAAAAAAGTGTGAGGAAGTAGAAGGTGTCCAGGAGCTCCAGAAGGAAGGACAGATGGCTTAATCTGCCTAAGCACCCACCAGGTTCTCCCTTCTTTGTCCCTCCCTCCGCATCATCAGTCTCCAGATCCCATCCTCACCAGCCCCGGTGGTGGAGAGTGACAGGGCCCCAGGGCGGAAACAGGAAGGTTTGGGGCCCCATGAATTGTCCTCTCTGGATACCTTGGAACCTGCGGCAAACACAGGGTCCCAAGCCACTGGTGTGAATATTAGAAATGTCGGTACTGACTACTACCCATGACTGTTTTCTCCACAACCAGGAAACCCAATAGAAACTAACCATGATACCATGTCATCTGTCCCTCTGCAGAGCAACCATAAAAACCTGGCACAGGTGTGGGGGGAAAAAGGGAAAACCAAGGGAAAATCCTAGGGAGACGGTCAATCCTTAGTGTGAGGCTCTCTGCTAACCTGGGCTTACTCCTCCAGCCATTGTGCTTAACGTGTGCCAAAGACTCTCACATCCAAACCTGGAGGTGTTGCAGGCTTCTGTGATGTTCCTCTTCAGCAGCAGTGCAGAATGTATTCCATTTGTCAGAACGCTTTTGTCTTTTTTTTCTTTGGAAACTTATGATACCAGTGAGACTACCTGCCTAGGTACCTGCCTACTCTGCCTTTTCTTCCTTTCCAAGACTCTCTCTGCATGACTTCCTCTGCCCCCAACAGCCTGATCTTGTGATAACACAGAATCATGAAAATGGATTCTAAGGCCCGATTACCCGGGTTCAAATCCTGCCTTTACCATATACTAGTTGTATGGCCTTAGGCAAGTGAATTAACCTCTCTGTCCCTGTATGCTCATCTTCAGCATAGGGAAAGGACACTTCCGTGATCTGGGGGGAGAGTTAGGTGAGTTAACACATGTAAAGCACTACATAATTGTTAGATATTAGTATTATTTTGGTGGTGGTGGTTTTATTATAGCCATTCTAGGTCTGTAATCCCTGAGCCCTACCTCTTCCTCCAGGCTTTAACAGAAGGAAAATTTCACCAAGGGAACTCACGCTATCTGGTGCATTCAGCCACCATTTTTTCCCCATATGTGTAACTGCAGGTATTGCAACATCCTTAATCATGTCTGTGTGCCTTTCATCACTGCACTGGTCTGTGCTAGCTCACCCTGACTTCTTCAGTTTCAAGCAGAGGACCTCTCTCTCTGTAATACAGTGCTTGGCAAAGTAAAGAATAGCTTTTATTCCCTTCTTTTAAATCTTCAGACCTGGGCTTGTGTATAAGCTTCAGTCAGTCTAGTCACTGATCCTAAGAGTGAGTCTACAAACAGCAGATGGATTCATGGACTGATCAGCTGTGACATTCTTTGTTCTCACACTGGGCATACAAACTAGGTGTTACTTGTAAAAGAAAGAATGTTGCCCATGGGCCAGTTCTACAGGGATCAAGTCATTAACCCCTGCAGTCGCTGGCCAACAGCACATCCTGAAAGGAATTCAGGAGGAAAATGGGATAAGGCATCTCTGCGCTTTGGAAAAACAGACACCTTAGATAGTTAGAGATATCTAAGGGAAAAAAATTTAATGAACATGTATTGTCGCATTTTCCGATACATAGAAAAGCAGTAAAATCATTACCTGAGATACCTGATCCTCATGACTAGTAGTAACCTTTTACTGAGATGTATGCTTGACTCCACACACTCTCTAGCCAAAATCACATATGTACTGGCTTCTCTCTCTACCTCTTTGGAGCAGTTCCTCAGAGCTGCCTGAGAGGCTGCCTCCCAGGCTATAGCCCTCAGTAGGGTCTTGAATAAACTCAACTCACAGCTCTTACATTCCGTGCTTTTCTTTCAGTTGACATACTTAAGCCAACAATTGTTTATCACAGTTAGATGCTATTATGCACCCACCATAATGTTTAAACTGAAAAAGGCTGACAGTGTCTGTTGTTGGCAAGAATATGGAACAACAAACATTAGTACTGAAAGTGAGTTGACGCAATCAATTTGGAGGCAAAAATTGTCGGTCCTTATCCACCAAAGATAAAGATCCACCTTTTCTATACTCAGAGATTTCACTCTAGGTATATAACCACCACAGATACGCACATGGGTACCATAAGACGTATTTGCGGCAGCATTGCTTGTAATCGCCAAAAGCTGGAAACGACTGAGACGTACACCAACAGTAGAATGGATAAGATAGTTGAGATATGTTCATACAACGAATGCTACACAGTGACAGAAATGAACAAACTACAGCTACACACAATTACACAAATGAATCTCACAAACAGACTACTGGATACAAAAGAACGCATACTATGTGATTTCATCTACACAAAGCTTTAAAGAGACAAAACTAATCTGTGTTGCTACAAGTCAGACTGCTGGTTGTCTTTGGGAAGGAGGTAGGGCTTAACCAATGAGTAAGGTATTAGTGGGTTGTCTGTGGTGCTGGTAATGTTGTATTACTTGACAGATGTGGCTGTACAGAAGTGCTAACTTTGTGAAAATGCATTGAACTGTCCACCTATGATCTGCATGTTTTCAACTCAAATCAGAAAAATTAAAGTACCTCTCTGATTAAAAAAGAAGAAAAGAAACAGTGTGAGGAAAATCCCTTCTGAATTTATTTGCTGTAAAATTCTTACCAAGAACACTGTGCATCTATATAAATCCAGTCATGCATTTAGTACTAGGAAAGAGTTTGTCTTTTCTAAGTAAATAGTATACTATGGATTATTTTGAAACTATCTAGTTTTTCATATTATCTTAGAAGTTCAAGGCCAAATTTAGTTTTCAATCATAGTAATTCTCTTAGTCCTCGAAACAACTTTTTTTCTTCTCTCTCCTCTTACATCACTTTGATTTTTCTATTTCTTTTTATATTGCATTTGCATTTCAATAATCTTATTGTATATGTGTCATTTACTTCAGGTAACCTGAAACTCTTTTGGAAGATGCTACACTTGTCCAAGAATTAAAACTTAACAGATTCTCCAATCTCAGCCTTATCCCAAAAGCTGCCTCACTCAATCCCTCTGCCAAGTGACAAAAAATGAAAAATTAGCAAATATTCTGGAAGCGGATGCTTTGTACTGGCATTGAGATATGCATCTATATCTCACTTCATGTCATATCAGTATATAACATTCAACATAGAGAAAGGAAAAATGTTACCTGAGGAATTCTTGTTTGGGAATATCTGTCAGATTTCAAATACTTCTTGTTTAACTGCCTTTGGAATTTTACTTCTCTGTTCTCCACAGGATTATAATGTTACAGGTGAGAGGGAATAACGGGACTATTTAAACCGTTGCTTACTGGTCACGTGGGTTAAGACCAAAATAAAAAAAGAAAGAAAGAAAAAAAATCACCATTCCCACTGCAAGGACCTTGTTCACAGTGGGAGATGGGGGTAGGGTTAGGGCGGGACCCAAACTGGACCATAGAATTTCAGCAACACAATTTTCATGGCTGAATTACATAAGGCCCCATTTGCATACCCAAATTTTCACAAACTTACCCCACAGCTCTCAGCATTAACCATGAAAGAGCTAATTTTCCCCACTGTCAAGAATCTCAGTTTACAGAGCATACCAAGGAGGTCCTATTTGTAAATATAAAATCACCCCCAACTTCTATGCAGTACTTTCCCAAACTCCAAAGAAGTAAAGAATCAAAAAAAAAAAAGAAAGAGAGAGAGAGAGAAAACAATGGTGATGAAATTTCTTTCAGGAATCAAAGTTGAAGGATCTTTTAAGAAAATTGAAAACCATAATCAAGACCTCTCTCTGAACAGATCTTATCCCCAACCAAACACACACACACAAACACACACAGATTCATTTGCTCGGGAAGAATCCAGTCCTGGAAACTGAAGAGGACTTCATGAATCCCCACCGGGCAGCATCCCCTTCTTTTCCCCCCATGCTTCCCAGCCCCACCTTCCACACCGCTTTCACAACACCTTCCTCTTGTGGTCAGAGTCCAGGCTGCTCCCCTCCCTTGTGCTAAGTTGGCAGTTCTCACCAGGGTCATCCTTGCTCAGCTGGAGAATCATATCTGATATAGCCAAATTAAAAAGCAAAAGAAAGGAAAGAGCTGCCCTAGCCAGCCAAGGCGTTGCACCTGCCCTTCAGCCCCCATCCTCCGAGTTGGAGCCTCTGCTGGAGTCAGGGAGCAGAGAAGCAGAACCCACACTTAGACTGCCAACCTGAGACCAGCCTTTGCAAACTGGGACTCTCAGCCTTAATGCTGTCAGACACCTTTTCAAAAGAGCTGCAGCTGCTTCGTGTCCTAGTCCACTCTAGCCAATTAGGCAAACCCAAGGAGGGGGTCGTGGGAACCTTTGATTTATAGCCAGTCAGTCAGAAGCACAGGTAACAACCTGGGCTTACAACTGGCTTCTGAAGCGAGAAGGGGAGGCTTCTGGGACTGAACCCTTAACCTGTGGGCTCTGACACTATCTCTGGGTAGATAAGACCTCCAGCTGGTGTACAAAGAACTGGTATGGATGTGTGAGGAAACACACCCATACCCAACGTTGGAATTGACATCAGAATCCTTCAGCACCCTTTCATAACTCTTCTCGGGGCTCCTGTGAAACTCTCTCCTAGTTCTCCCGCTTCTATTCCTATTCATTCTCATTGTCCTTTGCTGGCTTCTCTTCCTCTACTCAAGTTTTTAAAAGTTATTTTCTTTTTTGGGAGGGGAGGGAGGTAATTAGGTTTGTTTATTTAATTTAGAGGAGGTACTGGGGATTGAACCAGGGGCCTCGTGCGTGCTAATCATGCACTCCACCACTTGAGCTATGTCCTCTCCCCCTACCCAATTTTTAAAATCAGTATCCTGAAGATGTCTATCCTGGCCCTTCTTCTCTTCTCACTGTACACACGCTCTTTGTTTGGGGACCTCAGTCATCATCAGCTTCAACTCTAATCTGAGTGGTGATAACTTGAAATCTCTTCCTTCAGTCACGATCTCTCCTGACGACTAGCTCCTCGTATCCAACTGCCTGCTGGACACCTTCCACCCGAATTCATCCATTCATTCCATAAACATAGGCCGCTTACTATGTGTTAAGTCCAGTACTCGTTACTAGAGATATTAGAGATGAGTAAAGTACACATGATAGTTGAAATCTTAGAACTTACAGTTTTAGTGGGGAAAACAGACATTGTGTAGTCTCACAAATAAATATGTAATTATACACTATCATGAAGCTATGAAAGAAAAGCATGGAGAGCTTAGAGAGTATCACAGCAGTAACTCAACCTCAACTTTTCAAAACTGAAATAATAATGATTCAGTACAATCTGATCCTTCTCCTTATTGTCACATTATTTCCTTGTGAGAACAGGGGGTGGGCGGTGGGAAGTAGTGGGCGGGCCTAGTGGGAACAGGGGGCGGCCCGTACGAGGCAGTGGGCGGGGCGGGAGCGCCCAGGGGCGGGACCGCGTGGGGCGCGGCCCTTTCCCAGCGGGTAGGTCGAGTCCTTTGGGCTGCGCGGTGGTCCCGGTGGCGACCTCGAGAGAGATTGGCGGCGGTCCCGGGCGGTGCTCCCGAAGGACACCGCGCTCAGTCGGGGTCCCGGAGTTTGGGTTCGGTGCCGGCGGGACCGCGGCGTCAGGCAGCGCGGAGGCCAGGCGGCTGTGGCGGGAGCGCTGGTTCTGGGAGAGCGGGCGCTCCGCGCCGGTACCAGGCTACCCATTATGAATTCTCAAAAAATAATCCTGAGAGGTTGAGTATTTTGAAGAAAACATGTAATGCGACGATTTGACCGGGCGGAGCTGAGTTTACTTCCTTTTGGCAAACACGTGGACCCCCCCCCAGCGTGCCAGTGCGCAGTCCAGGACCCCGGATCCCGCGCCAGGAGCCCGGTTCCCAGGACAGGACGGGAGCTCTGCGGTGTGGGGCATCCTGACCTCCCCCAGGGTGACCTCTGACCCGGAGCTGGGGGGTGTCCAGCATTACCCGGTGGACATGAGAGGACAGAGCACTGCGATGTGGGACGTCCTAACCTCCCACGGGGTGAGCTCTGTGACCTCTGACCCGGAGCTAGTGGGGTTTCCAGCAGTAGGTGGTGGCGAAGATGCAAGAAGTGTGAAGCTGGAGGTGTCCGTGGCCTTAGTTGAAGCGGAATGAGGAGGGGGGGATGATGAGGAGGGGGGATGGTGCAGGGTCAGCGGTTGTGCCCAACAATTCGTTTTATCCCAGGTACCTCGGAGCTACTGTGAAGGTTTCTGGGTTTTTTTGAGTGGTTTTTCCTCCAAAAATTTTGTTTTGAAAATTTTCAAACCCAGCAAACCTTGAAAGTATGAAATCAGTTCATTGCATATTCATATATTGTTTTTCATTTCTTCATGGTATGTGATAAATACTGTAAAAGTCAATATTTTAAAAGGCCAAAGTCAACTTACTCATGGTACCTGCATAAGACATGGAAACATTTTAACTATGGGCATGATCAGGTCAGTCATCTAGATTCCAAGATTCTACTATATTAGCTTCATCTATACTTGGGTATATTTTTTCCCTGCAGCATGTGAAAGTAGGATGCAGAGATTAGGATACTCAGATACTTCAACATGCAGCTCCTTAGAATAACACCATCTCCAACACACCAAGACAATCACAATACCATTATCACAGCCAGGAAATTAGCAACAAATCCCTGATATCATCTGAAAATTAGTTCATATTTAAATTTTACCAGTTGTCAACAAAAAAATCTTTTGCTGATTTTTTGTTTTTAAACCAGGTTCCCCCTTTGCTTCCCTACCAGATTGTATTAAACTCTATCACACACTAATGCTTTTGACTATGTCCACTTTGGGGGCTTCCAGTAAAAGCACGAGAGAATAATGAACAGCTGATTTGCATATATGTATTTTTTTGCATCTTAGAGGCACATAGCGGTAAGTATTAAGATCAGCATTCTAGACCTAACTCTTTTTGATAGCTGCATATGACATAACACATAAAAGGGCTTTAATTGGGATCCTATTAGGACTGAGGTCCCCATTCCATTGCTTTCTTGATGGCTGTTTACCAGGGACCACTCAGCAGCTAGAGACGGTCCTCAAGTCCTAACCACCAGGCCATCTCACAACAGAGTAGCTTACTGCTTCAAAGCCAGTCGGAGAATTTCCCTTGCTTTTCCTTGAATCTCTCTGACTTCTTTTAAGAGGATATGTAATTAGTTCAAGCCTAGCTACCTTAATGTCATTGTTCATGAAGGCAAAGTCAATTGACCAATAAGGTTATCACGGAAGTGAAATCTTCGGTACTCAGAGTCCAGCCCACACTCAAGGAGAGGCAATTATACCAGGCACATTCATCAGGGCCTGGGAGTCTTGGGGCCCAGGGGTTTGCTGCCACTTCCCGCTGTCGCTGCTGCCACCCTCTGCATGCCCACAGCACCGCACCTGCCTCCCAGCAGCAGGCTGACCTGTACCCAGCAGCCTGTGAACCTGGGGCAGCAGAGGCCACCACCAGAGAAAGCTGTGGGGAAGATGGGAGCAAGATGACCAGTGTATAGCCTCCGAGGCAGGCCCCTTACACCTGCCTCCGTCCCCGCCCCCTCGACCCGTGACCTCACCGCGCAGTCCTCCCAGGAGCAAGCTAACCAGGAGACATGCGTCCTACAAACCTAGGGAAGCAGATGCTGCCCCCAAAACAGGTTTCGGGGGAGACTGAAACAAATCCAGGGGCTCATACCGGGCAGCACCGCCTCCAGCCACAGCTACCGCCGCCCCCTGACCACACCGCACAAGGCTCCGGAGGGGCTGGCCCACCTGGTGATGTGCCTCTGGTGAACCTGGGGCCAGGCCGCTGGGAAGGTGGGAACATATCTCCCGGCTCTCACAGGGCAGTCCCCATTGTTCCATCTCCACTGCTGCCACACCTGCATCGTCCCCGCTGCTCCCTGACTGGACCACACAGGCCTCTAGGGCGCAATGTGACCTAAAGACAAACCCGGGGCAGCAGAGACCGCACCCCACCAGGCCACGGGGGAGATGGGGGCAAATGACTGGCTCCCACAGGACAGCCCCCCTCCCCACGCTGCCACCACCAGGGCTACGACCTCTGCCATCTTCCCAGCCCCCTGGCTGCACTGGCTAAAGTGGGTACAGAGGGAACATGTCTCAACATAATAAAAGCTATTATGACAAACGTACAGTCACAATACCCTACAAGACAGCAGAAAGCCTTTCTGCCAAAATTTGGAACGAAACAAGGATGCCCACTCTCACCACTTCTATTCAATATCATTTTGGAGTTCCTAGCCATAGCAATTAAATGAGAAAAAGAAATAAAAGGGATCCAAG